ACCGACTATTTTTTAAAAAAGCTTTCGTTTTAATGTTACACCAACTGTTACACCTGATCTTGCGATCTTCATAAGAACATTTCCTTATTTGGTTTGTATCACCGGCGCAAATAAGTGTACGCTATTTAATCAACCTTTTTTTCTGCGAATTATATAAAACCGAGGAATTCACGAGACTTTAATAATTCGATTGATGACAGGACCTTTCCCGGTCCTATATTAATCCGAGTTGATCGATTACATGTTACACCATAATTTCCAAAGCGTGTTAACTGTTAACGTGATACGCGATATCAATACTAGTCAGAACTGGTATCTAAAAAAATTCAAATGACAATGACAAGTCAACAGGAAACGGTTGCGTTTAATTCAACGCAATTTATTTTATCGTTACCATCTTTAGTTTGGCATGAATCATTTTGTCCTTTTAGTATTTTGTTAACTCTACATGCAATATATGTTAATTTGAATTATAAAGCTCGTTTAAAAAATGCCCAAGTCTCGTGGCTGCAGGGCTTTTTTTCTGTAATGGTCATGAGTGTTGGAGGAACTTCAACAAGTGGTAGACTTCTTTTCACTAACAATTTATAATTTTTTTTGTACTGTTTATTTCCAATATTAATATTTTATTCCTTTGTAATATGATACACATTTTAACAGCTATTCTAACCGGTAATGCGCCAGGTTGGCTTGCCTCAAACACAACCATGACAACATATTTGTAAGATTTTTTTTTTTTTTAATTTTAAATACTTATTTCTAAATATATATTTAATTATTAATTTGTTAATTTTGAATTATTTTTCAGGTGGATATATTCAATGATGTTTTATGTACCAAGTTTTCATCAATTTTTTACTTCAATACCTTCATCCCTTCTTGATCCAATTCTTTTAATATCTGACGGTTTTATTCGTAGTAATGCAATATGTTCATCAGGTGTAGATGGAATTCGATTTGGCAAGCATGATAACCCTTCATTGAACACAAGTTGGGTTGCTGTCTTGGTCTGCGGAACATTATGTGGTTGTGGTGGTGGTTTGCTGGAGTCTGCTTTTCAACTTGCTTCACCAAAATGGACATTTTCTACTCCTTCAGCTTTTTCAAATCCTACTTATGATATGAAGATGTGTTTTATTACCGCTTTGCTTTATTCCTTAACAACTTCGGATATTCAAATTTCAGTAATGTCTTTTACTCCAATTTTAGACATTGATCAAGGAAGAGCTCTCGCGATCCTCGGCTTTGTAGGACTTAATTTGGTTAAATTGAAAGATCCTACACGTATTAAATATTTGCAAGATACAAAAAGTGTTGAAAACAAAGATAAAACACAATAATAATAGCAATTTGCAAATGTTGTGAATATGATCTTTATAATTATTTTTATAATCATTTATTTTATACGTATAAATCATATACACTTAAAGTGAAATTTTATTTAATCTTTTGTGAGATTTCATTAAAAGTTAAATCCAAGAAATTAGTCCTGTTAACCGTCTATATGAATGGAAAAATAGGAACTATTATATGAATGTTTTATATTTTCATGTTTCAGATTTTTAGAGATTTTCTGGACGGCAAATTCGGAAAAACTTTGACCAGAATACCGGTTCTTGTAAATCGTCTTTTACCTTTATTAGTAAAATTCAATAATTACTAATTAATAACGATAAAAGATGATTATAAATAAATAAGAACCGCGGCATTCTGCTTTAAGTTTTTCCGGATTCACCCGTTCGGAAATCTCGAAGGTGGTTTTCCCAATATAATTTGGATTTTTTTTTTAAACAAATAATAAAGTTATTTATAAACATATATTTTAATCTTTTATTACAGAGTGTTTTAAACTAAGTTTTTCAAATAACTTCCTGCCTTTGGTTATTTAGTTTTGTCTACTTTTCGTCCTCGGGAAACATTGTTCCTATACTTCACTTATTTTAGGGGTGCATATTTTCGGAAGAATACGGTAATTAGTAAGCAAAAATACTGCTGCTATGGTGTGATTACACTCTGTAGTAATACGAGAAAAATAAAGAGGTTATCCAATCAGAGATGAGATTGTCACTTGAGGAAGAAATTAAGGCACAGACAGAAATAAGAACCTTAATTCAAAAAGAACCAGTATGGGCCTTGAATAAGATCTCGGGTATCATATAGAGAAGAAATCTCAACGTTAACGTTAATAAATTTCTATCCAACAATAAAATCGAATATTTGGACAAATTGTACATGTCCCAATTTGTCCAAATAATTTATTTGGACATAATAAAATTTTAAGATTTATACTGGGTGATATTGATATCCGGAGTACTATATCTCAAAAACCAAGAAACAAGAGTACTAAGTAAAAATGTTCGGGACCCCAAAGACCTAAAATTTGGGCCTTTGTATACGTATAGGAAAATTGGATTATTATTAAATCTCTATCCAATAAATTATTGGACAAGTGTCCAATTATAATTTTTGAAGTCTAAAATTTATGTCAAAGTCCAATTATCCAATTGAATTTATTTGGACATTGTCCAATGACAACTCTGATTTCCATATAACGATAATTATCATTTGTTGATCGCTAAAAAAAATCATGGATACTGTAAAAAAAAAACATAAGAAAAATAAAAAACGTAAATTGAACGAAGATGAGAGTGAAGATAAAGTCGACAAAAAAGCCAAAAAGCTAAAAAAATCAAAAAAAAAAGAACGTAAGGAACACAAATCAAGCAAAAAGGAAATTAACATAGATGACACAGTGTTGAAAGTAACTAATTCTGCTTTTAAGGACAATAATGCCACAAAACAATCAAACACAAATAATTTGACGACTTATGGAGTCGAGAATAACACGTTAACCAATACTTCGGTTGACGCAGAAAAAGCTGAAAATTCCCCTTTTCGGATAGTTACTGCTAAAATGCTCATTGATCTGCCACCTAAAGCTTTCGAAGATTTCGATCAAGGAATTTATACATATATGAACGCGTTGATAATGCAATATGTTGAAGAATTTAGTGGCATTGTTCTTGCCTATGAAAATATTAAATTATGTGATACATCAGGGTACATATATGAAGATTCACCATATTGTCATTTTTATGTACAAGCAGATTTCGTTATTTGGGATGCATCGAAAGGGTGTAAATTGAGTAAGTGTCATACAAAAAAAAGTCATGGTTTATTATTATTATTATTATTATTATTATTATTAATGATTTTAATTATCTTTATTAAATATAGCTGGAAAAGTGATTCGGCAATCGCCTACACATATAGCCCTATTACTTTACGAATCTTTCAACGTTAAAATATTTCGTGATTGCATACCCGATGATGTTTTTGAATGGAAAGATGATGAAGAATTTTTCAATGCAATGATTTCTGATAAACAATTAGAATTAGATAAATTATATCAGGATGGTGAATGGTTCAATAAACAAACAGGTGAAAGTCTTACTGATAAATGTATTGAGTTTGAGGTTCTTGGGTAAGTCATAGATTATTTATTACAGTTGATAATTCTTATAGCGTAAAGTATTATTAAATAAATATTTTTAGATCTGAAGTGGATGAGGGTACTATCTTTATTGTCGGAACGCTCCAATGCTACAGTGATAATCCTGCACCGGAGAGGGAAAACGATGTCCCGTTTGATATGAGTGCACTTCTTACTTTTGGGTTTAGTAACGCCCAAAGTTCGAATAAGGATGATAATATATAAGTCTGTCGATGGTACATCGCATTTACATAATGGCATACTAAATGTTTTGAATATTTCATTTTCAATTGCTACAATAAAAAGTCCAGAGCTCCTATTAAGTAAACTCAGATCATAATTTGATTTATCTTATACTTAGGGTTGGTCAAATCATTGGTCGATTAAAAATTTGCTAAATAGTCAAAAGGCTTCTGGTTAAATTGGTCTGGCTTATTATTTAAATAGTATGTTATACACATAGTGTAGATACTATTTAACCAATTTGACTAGTACTAGACCCTATACTTGCTGTCCAAATCCTAACTATTATCCCTTAAACCGCATGCAAAATTTTTTCAATAATAAAATTTCGGAAAATTCTATTTTCACCCGGGTTAAAGTCACCCAAAATTTTACTAATCCTAATAATTTTAGTTACACAAATGACATAGAATTTTCCTTAAATTTAAATCGAGAATTAATTTATTTAAATCAAGAATTAATTTATTTAAATATGGGCTAAGTGCTGCAAAAAAAAGAGGTAAATTGACCAAAACAAAGATCTTCAGAAAATCAATTTTTATATTATAAATTTTATAAATTATAAAAAAATCAAACTTTAAAGTGTTATACTGCAAGATTTTATTAATACAACTGAGTTTGTATCTTAAGTAAGAAATAATTTATTTAAAAAAAATTTGTTAATTTGTTTTTTTTTTTTTTTAAATGTTAATAATAAAACCATGTTTTTATTTTTATTAAAATTTAATTTGATTTTCTTACAATGAAAAAAATATATTTAAACTTCATATCATAAGATAACAAGAAAAGAAATTCAGACTAGTTTATATGTGACCTAAATGGCTTACCTAGATTTAAGAATTAGTAATTATATAAATTAAACTTGTTTGGTATTTAATTCATAAAAGGTATCAAAGTGTTAATTTGTTACTAACTAGAGTAAAAGGTGAAGATTAAGAAAGTAAAAAAGATGTAAAGGGTGAGGCAGGATAAAATATACAAAATGTTATTAAAAAGTAAATTTAAAGAATGAGAAATGCAATAAGATATTCAAATATTATAATAAATTAATGAATTAAGATATAAAAGAATTTTATAGTAATTGTAAAAGTTGATTTAAATTAATTTGTTTTTTTATAGTATCAAGCCTATATATTTAATATTTAATTTAATTTAATTTTAAAAATCTTTATTAATTATAAAGCAGTGATTAAATAAACTTTTTAGTTATTTTGGCTAATATAGCAAATTATTTAAAAATATTTTTAAAAATATAGTAATTATAAATATGTAGTTTTAGGCATCTCTCAAAGAAAATGCGTATTCCCATGAATTGTCCAATGATGAGTCAGAATTCATTAGAATTTAGTGTAATATAGTACAATCACAAAGATCAAAACAAACTTTTGTTTTTTCAAAAATTGTTTATTTCTTGAATATTTGCATAAGAAATTACCTTTTGTGTCATAAAAAAAATTTTTTCTTGAGCAATTTTACTATAAGTACTAATCTTAACACAAACTCTAATCCTATTTTAAACAAATTTGGTTGTGAGAGATATATAACTTATATATATCCCACAAGAGATGCCTATAATTTCTATTATAAAATATTATAATTATAGAATCTTAAATAGAGCCAACTAAAGATACAGATTACTGTAATTTATTAATTATATATACAGTATTTAATTTGTTTTTTAGTTTGAATAAAGATTAGGTTTAGATTTCAAAACATTTTGTCTGTGTCTCTATTCTTAATATCCTTTGGAAATAAAATTCATATGTAATTTTTCTTGTAAATTTTCTTGTAAAGAAATTCAATTAAGTTTTAATAAAATTAGAGACATAGCCTTATTTTAAAATTTAAAAAAAAAAAATAAGATTTTAATAATATAATCAAACTCAGACAACAATCGCAAACTCTTCTTGACGATCACTTGTATCAACCTAACACCGAAAGCAAGTTGAAGATTCAAGCCTAAAAGTCAACAACAACTTGAAGTTTTCTTGATACGAACTG